CAGATGGGGTGAAAAAAGAGCAGCAAACCCACCCTCTGCAAGAAACTGTGAAAAGAATTCCTGGCTCTGGAATCCCAGGACTTCCCCATCCTTCACTTTCCCACTCGGCCCTGCCATCTGGCTCTCAGAGATGCCTCATGTTTCTTCATCCAGGATTTAAAACATAGCACTGATACCCAGGTAAAGAGATGAGCTTGGTTTACTCAGATGAATGGGTAAATGGGCCGTTTTTCTTTTTCTGTTAGAAAATAGTCATTTTCTGGGTTGAGATAGGAAACATTCTTAGTTTCTATATTGTTGTGATAAGACACTTATCCTTTAGACTAGTACTGTTTCTCTTGCCAGTATTTTTGCAAGTCATACCACCTCAACATTTGTAATGATCTATAACACATGTGTCAAACACAAGGCCCGCGGGCCAAATCCGTCCCGCCAGGCCTTGCAATGTGGCCCGCACCGCGCTGTCATCACTGCACTCCGCTGTGTTTCCATCACAATGACAGTTTATGACTGTTCAGTAAACCATTCGGCCCGCGATTTAGGCTGGATTTTAGATTTTGGCCCCTTCTCTGATTGAGTTCGACACCCCTAATAAGAAGTCAATTCCATCTCCTGATATAATGATCCATTGTGTTTCATGCTCAGCCTGTTTTTTTTTTTTTTAATTTTTAAAAGCAACTGTAGCAGAGGTATGATTTAAAGGGCCAAACCTAAGTAAAGTCTGTGCTTTTATTTATTTATTTATTTATTTATTTATTTATTATTTTTTATTACCTTCCCCTGGCTTTCTCTAGCTTCTGTGCTTTAACCATTTCATTAAAAGAAAATATATGTTGTATTTACCAATATTTCTTCCTTAGATCAGAATTCTAATGAACAAACAGAGATGGATATAGAAATAGTCATTAAGCAAGTAAGCACAGTAATAATTATCACGTTAAGCGCCCAGTCAGTCACCAGTGTGGAAGACAAAACAGGCTGGGTGCTTAATGTGTTATAGTAGGTAAGACTTTTTGATAGATACAAAATTAGTGGGCAGAGGTATGATGAGAAACATGATATTTGCAGCATCTTAAAATACCTCTATACATAAGAGCCTAAGTGACTGGCCAACTGGCTGACAGGCCAGTAGTTATGATGAGCACAAACTGACCCACAATGTCTTTTTTTTTCTTTTTTTTTTCCAGTCCAGATCCAATTCAGGATATCACCTTGCATTCGGCTGGCTTGTCTCCTCAGCCTTCTCTAATCTGGGGCAGTTCCTCAGTCTGTATGTCTGTATTTGTCTTTCATGACCTTGACATGTTTAAAGAGTCCAGGCCAGTTAATGCTCAATGCAGGTGCTGCTGAGCTGCAGTCACGTGGCAGCGGTGGTCCCTGGGTGGCACACCCAGAACCAGAGAGGAGGGACCCCTCAGGGGATGTCGGGAAGTCGGTTTCAGTCCGGTCCCCACAGGCCAGGACGAGGGCCTCTGGTCTCCCTATAAGGTTACAAAGAGTGGAGCAATCTGGCAGATACTACCTTGACCAAGTCAGAAAGTTAATATCACCAGTAATGAGACAGGTTGTCCTCATTTACCTCCTGGTGGCCTAATATTACTTCTGTGATGTTCTTGCCAAAAATGCACAGTCTTGACTTAATCATGAGAAAACATCAGACAAAGCCAAATTGGAGAGCAGTGTACAAAATAACTGGCCTGGACTCTTTAAACATGTCAAGGTCACGCAAGACAAATACAGACATACAGACTGAGGAACTGCCCCAGATTAGAGAAGGCTGAGGAGATAAGGAAACCAAATAGAAGGTTTTAAAGTCTTGAATTAGATCTGGACTGAAAAAAAAAAAAAAAAAGACATTGTGGGTCAGTTTGAGAAATTTGAATAAGGCCTGCAGATTGTTTAATTATTTTGTATCAATGAAAATTTTATTATTTTAATAACCATAGCTATGTAAGGTGTTAATATTAGGAGAAGTTGAGGGAATGGCTTTTAGGAATTCTATATAGCTGTCACAACTTTTTGTGAGCCTAAAATTATTTCAAAATAAAAAAGTTAAAAAGGAATGTTCTGGTATGATTTTTGAGTGATTTAGAATTTCTTGGTTGGCAGGAAAAGAATAATTCTATACCATAAGATAACTTTTATAATTTCTTATTTGCTAGGATTTTTACTTTTACAATTAATTTTACAGGCTTTGTGATTCCTTTAAAAATTTTAGCCAGTTTGTCTCAATGGATAGAGCTTTGGCCTGTGAACTGAAGGTTTGATTCCAGTCAAGGGCATGTGCCTGTTTGTGGGCTTGATCCCCAGTAGGGGTCATGCAGGAGGCATGATACTCTCTCTTATCATTGATGTTTTTATTGATCTCTCTCTCTACCCTCTACCTCTCCCTTTCTCTCTGAAATCAATAAAAAATATATATATATTTTAAAAAGGAGTAACCGGTTGCCCAATGGAGTCTTCAATAGCCATACTAAAACATTTATTTCAGTTTTATAATTGTGACAGACCTTGAGTAATAGCAACTTCATTCCAAATGGCAAGGGAATGGGAATTCAATACTTTGGATCTTCATCTTTTTTTTTTTTTTTTTTTTAATCCAATCCAGCTTTCTCTCATCTAAAGCCAAAAGTGTGATAGAAATATTTCAGAAAATTAGCTCTTATCTGTGAAATACAATAAATGATAAGATCAAAGAGTAGATCTTCCTTAAAACTTATTCTCTTTCCCCCTTCCCCCCACACACTCAGTAATTTAAGTCCTTTGAAGACAGCTTCTATGTGGGCTTGCTCATTTGCATCTCCAGGCTTCCAGCCAGTGTTTTACCCATAACAGAGTGTCAACAAGTCCCTGGCTGGGGTGGGGAGAGAATGGTGTGTGTTGGGGCTTATCTTTATTCCAGAAGTATCAAACATAGTGAAAAGTGATAGACATGACTTCTTGTGATCACAGATGTCAATAGAAAAATTGATTTACCTTATTAAGGATTAATTCCATACAAACCTTGAACCTAAAAAATAATAAATAGGAGATTCAAAGTAGAGTGAAAGACAAAAAATATTAGAGACCTCTGATTTTCCTGCTGGCAGTCATACGTCCTCTGGTGAAATTTGCCTTCTAACCTAACATTCAACATCCATCTCTACTATTGTTGACTTTTTACTGCATTGATTTTGGTCATTGTTCCCATTAGCATTCCTTCTGTATTTAAAATATTTATCTCCTCCTATTTGCTTTGTCTTTTATAAACTGTATTTGACTTAGCTGTTATATAAATTGCTTGTCATTGAAAAAATAGGCATTTTTAAGGGTTGATTTTGAGGTGTTTGAAGAAAGTCTTCATCAGTCCAGAAACAATTTTAGAAGTTCTAGGAAGAGTGTAGAACTGTTCAATAGAATAAAAAACCTCAAATCACTCTTTTTTTGGGGGGGGGGGGAAGAAGGGGTTTAAAAATAGATTTATAGACTATCACTAAGGTCTCTTGGGCCCAGATGAGATCATCTCCCAAGTTACCTTGGCTCAAAAGTTAAAGTAGTATTAGATTATTTGTCCCCCACCTAAAATGAATCATTGACTAAATCAGTAACTAAATTCTGATTCCTTAATGCCTCCCACGCTTTCACTTGCTTGCAACTTCTGTCTCCAAATGCATTTTATTTGAGGTGCCTTTGTCTTTTAGGAAAGATGTCCAGGTAGTATTAAACAGTTGAAACAAAACAGGCTTTCAGTAGAATAAACATGTAACCATACTTTAACAAAACATATGGTAAATTACTCATAACATAAAATTAACCATACTTTTTTAGTGATTGCTAAGGAGGTTTTACTTAAGGTGCCAAATGAAAAGGCAACATTTCCCCCCTCCCCCAATGGAGCAAAAGGTTATAATGAAAATAAATTTATGTTTTACTTTGCTTTACTGAAAATGGAGAAGATAGAACTTACCTGTTTTGTGGCTCTTCATATATTTAACTAAAGTAGATTCATTTACAAAACAAACAAATGTGTTGTTTATTTTTGTGAGAAGGAGAATTCAACTTTGAATGCCTTATACAATATATTTGTTAAGTACAATTTTAGCTGCCTCATTTTTTTCCTCTGGTTTTCTCAAAGCACACGTCTTTCCATTAGTTGCAACACCTTTCACCGACATATGTTTTATACCAAAAATATGCAGTGCTTTAGAGTCAGAATTGCCAAGGTGTGTCCTATATCAAATTCTTAGATTTTTTTCAGTTATAAATATTTTAAGCCATATCAAAATATTTACACGTTGGTATTGTAATTTTTCTAGAATGCCAGATTAAGAGCAGTTAGCTTTGCCTGAATCTGACTTTGAAATGCAACTTAAAAGTGACTAACCTGCAATGCCTTTTGGTTAGCTATGAATCCTTATTTATGAACCTGTGGTCCACATTGCTGTCGGAAGTGGTAATAGGAGCCTAGCCACAAGAAACATCTTCGGCTTTTCTTTTCTACCAGGGCATGGTGAAAGTGCATGATAATCAAGGCCTTTTGAGGTGATTTTTGTCAGGGAAAGTGATTTGTACGTTGCTTAGAAGGCACTATTCCTTAGGCAGCAAATGAAGTTTGCCTTCCTGAGGCACTATCTACCTGACTTTAGTATGTAAGGATTCTAAAGCCAGAACTATAATCTTTTAAAAATTTCTTAAACAAATCTAGAGAGAAAAAGAGCATCTTTCACATAAGCACACAAATAATTTGGGAAGTCTAAAGATTTTGTTGTTTGGTCTTAGCTGCTGACTGAAGAATGGAAGGTGATCAGTCAGTTCTGTAACTGGTGCCTTGAGCGACTCCTAGCCATGGCAGATGGTTGGGGATGACTCAGGGATTGCTGCTTGTGTTACTGCGCCAAAGACATTTGCAAACAACTTGTATAGAGATGATACAGTAAGCCAAACAAGGAGAAATCATAAGGCTGGCAATTTGGGCCTCTGGGGTGACTGAAATCTCATCTTTGTAATGTGTCTGGTTTCAGATTGCCTGTTTGGTACCTGTGGATCAATTCCAGCTTTATCAGCGGTTGAAATTTGAACGAGGTATGTATGCACTCTTCTTTTCATCCCGATGATAAATGTGGTTTGACACCTGTCATCTTTCCGCTAACCTGCATGGAAGGCTAAGGCAGCTGCGGGCTGTCAACAGGTCACGAGGGTGCTTGGAAAGGGGAAAACTGTAATTGCAATGTACAATTTCAACTCTCTCAGCCACAGCCAGAGAAAATTCAGACTAGTAGGAAAGAGAACTTTCCTTATATTGGTTTTTAAAGATATGTTTTTATTGATTTTAGAGAGAGAGGAAAGGAGAGGGGATAATATGCATTTCACAGCCATATCCATCTTTACAGCAGTAATAACCTTCCCATACGTGAGGCACACATGGAAAATCATTGGCCAAGGCTCACTTTTCTCCAGAAAGTGCATGAATAGATGTCAATGGACTTTGCTTAGTGACTGGGACTTTTGGATGCTCTTGTAGTGTTCATCCCTATGTGTGATTGGCTTATTCCTTCATTAGATATGATAATGTAGTCAGTCTCGTTACAATCAAGTTGGGCAGGTTTTGTAGCCAGACTGTCTTTTGTAGGTACTCTTGCACATCTCTGCTTTGAGGCATTGTAAGAAAATCACATAGTTTTACTCATACATGGAATTTATTTTTTCTCACAAGTTTTAAACAGATGCCTCATTAGAGATCCCCATGAATTGACAATTGACTTTATTATTCCTATTTTATAGATACAGAAACTTACAATTGAAGAAGTTGAAATTTGCTTGGGATCACATAGATGGTGTCTAAGCTTCCTCAACTATAAAACTTTAAAAAATTCTATAGTTTTATATTGAGGTAAAATATGTCTAACATAAAATTTACTATTTCACCCATTTGGGTATTTATAAAAAGTCATTTTAGCTAACCCTAAAATGTAAACAAGAAGGAATAATTATGTTAGAAAATAGACATTTTAAGTAAATTTAAGTTAAATCAGTGCTACACAATGAAGTTTATTTGATTGGATACTCTTTCTCAGTTGTACATGTGTCATTGTTACATAATATATTTCATATTCACCTCAAATGCAAGATTTTGGCAGGCAATTTTGAGGTCTTGATTATAAAAATTACTAGAGGCCCAGTGCATGAAATTCATGTAAGGGGATGGGGGAGTTTGTCCCTCAGCCCAGCCTGCACCCTCTCCAATCTGGGACCCCTCAGGGGATGTCTGAATGCCAGTTTAGGCCTGGAGATCAGGCCTAAACCGCCAGTTGGACATCCCTCTCACAATCCGGGACTGCTGGCTCCTAACCACTCTCCTGCTTGCCTGCCTGATTGCTCCTAACCACTTCTGCCTGCCAGCCTGATTGCCCCCAACTACTCTCCCCTGCCAGCCATCTTGTGGCGGTCATCTTGTGGCAGCCATCTTGTGATGACTTGGGGGCAGCCATCTTGTGATGACATGGGGGTGGCCATCTTATGACAACATGGGGGCAACTATCTTGTGATGAAATGAGGGCATTGCATGAGGGTGCGAGGGCCACCTGTATTGCATACCAAGTTCTTTTCTCAGTTTTTAGTTTGTCATCTGTGTTTCTTTCTTTTTTTTAAAAAAATATTTTTATTAATTTCAGAGAGGTGGGGATAGGGAGAGAGAGAGAGAGAGACAGAGATAGAAACATTGGTGATGAAAGAAAATCATTGATTGGCTGCCTCCTGTATGCCCCTTACTGGGGAGCAAGCCCACAACCCAGTCATGTGCCTGAACCCAGAATAAAAACTGATCTCCTGTTCATAGGTCAATGCTCAACCACTGAGCTACACTGCCAGGCATCATCCTGTGTTTCAACTGTCCTCTACTTCACACTTGACTAAGTCTTTGTGGGGAAGAAAATCTGTTGAATGAGTTCAAATCACCTCTGTTTATACAAAGCAGAGAAACATCATTTAGAATTGTTCCATTATTCTGTGAATCCACTTTGCATCTATCCGTGACTTTCCATTGGCTATTGCTGTGTTTGTGGCTTTCCCTTTCTGTATCAGTCTTCCAATATTAGGGACTAAGTTTGGCATGTGCTAGTGATTACTGATTTCCTTTTTTTTTTTTTTTTTAACTGCTTTACTTTCTACTGCTACTCAAATCACATGTCTGATGATTAATGCTAGAAGTTTGTTTTTACTCTTGTTTCCAGATTCTACTTTTTCAAAAGAATTTTTTTTCTTCTTCAAAAATTGGGTTAAGATTATCCATTAATATCCTTAAGGACTATTTCTATTTTTGTAACATTGTTTTACTTACTATAACTGCAAGTTCCTTTAGTTCCCTGATAGGTTAAGGTGTCTATTCTTGGCTAGTTGTATTTTCATATAGTTGTTAGAAACAAATATTTTAAGTGCCAGATTGTTCTTCTTTATAAAAAAGTGAAGTAAAATGAGAATTTGTTTTCCTGTTATCTGCTCATCCTATCATATTCACTCATATAGTCAATCCCTACATTTTTATGTAGTGAGCATCTATTCTGCACTAAGTACTAAGTGCAATTCTAGAGGCTGTGTTCATCTTTCCTTGAAAGCCCTCTTGTTCTCAGCATTTTTTCACAAGCCTCCTTTCATTTTAAGTCACAACATTTATGATATGGCTCTTCAGGTTTAATCTCATTCTTTTATTTGTCCTTGGTGAAATGCTCTCACCCCATCTTTTGTGCCTGAGCAGTAAGGTTTTGTCTTACCAGAGGTCCCTGTGTGGTTATTTGATGTTCTAGGGCTTAAAAAAAAAAAAAAAAAAAAAAAAGACTGTGACACTTAATGACCTTATCATTAGTTCAGTGTGTGTGTGTTTTTTTTTTGTTGTGTGTGTGTGTTTTTTAACACCTCCCATCTCTCATTAGTCATCTTCATTTTTATAGTTTCTGATCATAAGCCTGTTCTTATTGTGTGTGTGTGGGAGGGTGTGTGTATGTGTGTGTGTTTTCTTTTTGAGTCTGCCTTTCTGGTGGTTTGTGGTAAGTGAAGGATTAAGTCTAGGGTTTCCTCCCTAACCTATTTTGTGCTTCCTGGTGATAACACTTTCTCAGCTTCATGCTTCCTCTACTTTACCATGCAGTTCATCCCTGTTGATCAGTTGTAAATCTAAAATAACACCCTCTCGATGTTTCTGTTTTCTTTGGAAAATTTAAATTATCTTCAGGGAAGACATTTATCTGCATGTAGGATGAAATTTCTAAAGTCTCGAAGGAGAGGCACATTGTTAAGTGCCACTTCCTGTGCACACTTCTATCTCTTCATCTATAAAATGGGAATAAAATGGAATGATTACTATAGGACTGTTGTAGAGAATAAGTAAATATTGTGTGTGGGTCACAGTGTGCATTCAGTAAATTATCACAGCTTATTGTTATTGTTGTTATTAATTACTACCACCACTAAAACTTCCCTTTCCCCCAGTTTTCTGAACTAAAATAAGAAAGCATCTTCTAGAATCATACCTTGGACTGAGTGTATAATGTAATTAACAACTTTACTTCTGTTTTCTTTTCAACTTATTCCCAAGTTTTTCCAGCATGTTTCCATTCACATCACCCTAGGTTCTAGAGCACATGTGTCAAACACAAGGCCCACGGGCCAAATCCGTCCCACCAGGCCTTGCAATGTGGCCCGCACCGCGCTGTCATTACTGCACTCCGCTGTGTTTCCATCACAATGACAGTTTATGACTGTTCAGTAAACTATTCGGCCCGTAATTTAGGCTGGATTTTAGATTTTGGCCCCTTCTCTGATTGAGTTCGACACCCCTATTCTAGAGAGTTGTATAGAAATTTGATAATCAGTGCTAATTCCTTTACACCACCTTATATATATTCATCTTCTCCCTACAGTATACACTTACTATACGCATGAATCCCCTTTCTCTGACCACCTCCAAGGAGATCAAGACTTGAGAGGCAGCATTCAAAGTTGCTGCTTGGAAGAAAAAATGTTCCCATGGTGATAGTGGAAATGAAAATCTATTTAGTAGCATGATTATAGTTAATGGTATTCTAGGAGCTAAAAAAGGCCTGCCCCCGTCATATACTCATTAAGCCCATTACACAAACTCCTAACTTCTGTGGGTACTAGGTAACTTAAAAAGTTGTTTCCAGGTTTGAAATTCTGTGGTTGTCTTCAACTAGCTTGAGAGCAACTCCTGTGCTGATGGCCACCTCTGCTTGAGTGTATTTCCTAGAGCAGATGTTAATGCTGATCAGTTTAATTCAATTGCATTTTAACTATCTTCAGAAAACCTTTTTCTATGAGATATCAGAAAGCAAATTAACTTTGGCATAATTAAAAATGCAGTGGGTCATAAAAATTAAAACAGTTTTATTTATTTCAGCTGGTAATCAAATTAGCTTGGGGGCATGATGTTCCCCACAATAATAAGAACTCATGTGATGTCTGTATGGGCACAGCCTCACAAATGTAGAGGATGGCAGAGAAAGCACTCATGTGAGCTGAGAGAATATACTACAGAGTAAGAAAAAAACTACATATGTGGTATAGTTCGGGTGGGTAAACCAAAGGGCCCTGCGTTCAATTTTTGAAAAGTGAAAATGGTTATTGATGTCAGATATGGTGTTTAGGTCTCACGGCAGTCTTATTTTCTTAGAATGTTTCTACTTCCCAATAATTGTCAGAATACAGAAGTAGAAAGCAGTTTAAATAGCATTTCCTGCCTTGCAAAAATTGCATGAACAAGCAGAGTCTTAAGATCAAATAGTCATGGAGCCTTACTTCAGTAATTCATTCATTTTCATAAGTGCACTCCAATGCAAGTCTGTGAATTTGTCCATCTCTGACGGTAAATATATTACAACTAATCACTTTGAAATTGTGTTCATATTAAAGTGTTTGTGGCACTATTAGTTAGGGGCTGATTTACACAGACTCCTGGTTTCTCTATTTCTAGATTTCTGAACATTTCTCCTTCTCAAAGCAACATAAAGTGTTCATCACTGCCAGTGCAGAAGAAATTAATTGAATATTCATTAGTTTTTTGTTTTTGTTTTTTTGCCAGCTCTGGAAAAGAAATTTGAAGGGGGAAGAAACTAGACCTTCAATATTTTGGATAGGGTGCATTTTGTTTCTCCGCATAATTACTGTTTCCTAGGCCAAAAGCCAGGAGGTAGAATTGAATTTATCCTAATAGTAATAGTGTTTTATAGAATCCCGTGTATCACCTTAGGTTATATGACTACTCTAGTCTCATAATAGATCTCTCTGTTGCCACTTGGTACCATTAGCACCTGTTCTTCCTACAATAGCCAGAGTAATCTTCTACAAATGGGAATCTTATCAGGCCCTTCCATCAATGGCTCCTCATCTTGTTAGTCCTTATTATCATAATCTGTGATTAGGCCTTGACTACTATTCCCAAGTAATCACATGTGACTCTCCCTCTGCTCACTTAGCTCCTTGTCAAGTTGGAATGCTTTATTACATATGTAAATCTCTCTATCTTTTTTTGGTATTATTTGGGTAAAAATTGGAAAGCTTTCAGATCAAAACCATGTGTAGGTTGGCTGCTTATTCATGGTTCTGTCATCAGACTCGAAAAGACCTATGATTTAAAATGGATGGTGAGTGGATATTTGATCTGGGAGTCCTTAGTTCTAAGTTATATACCACCCTACATTGCTTTGGGCTTAGTATTTATGAAACAGTTATAAGAGTTTGGATGAAAATAATAAATGGTATGGAAATACAAGGTAAGACCTTGGAACGTTTGTGTGTCATTATCCCCTTGATTTTCTAACCAGCCTGTCCCAAAATTTTAGGGATCTTAGACAGGCCATCTTTCTTGGAGTCTGAGGATCTATGAATCATAGGTTTCCCATTTCTGATTATATTTGGTCCATCAAGCACCAATCCCTGTCCCCCAGAATTAAATAAGAAAATATGTTTAAGGATGCTCTTTTTTATGAAAACCTGTAATAAGCATAGATCCAATTATTGCCTTTTCTAGGCAAGACATTAATGGTGACAGTGTTAACTGGACTTTTTCCCTCTGATACTGAATTTGTAAAATTATTACCTTTAAAACCAAGCTCATACTTAATGGTTTTATTTTCTTTTTGCATCTCCCTTTGGGTTTCTTTGCCTCATGGGTGGAAATTTTCAAGAATCACAGTCCTTAAGAGACGTAAAACTAGAATCTCATAAGTTCAAAATTTGTAAAATACAGGGTGGGGCAAAAGTAGATTTATAATTGTTCACATGGAAAATCATATAATAGCAAATAACACAAGAATAAACTCTGTGATCCTCATACTCACAACTATAAATCTACTTTTGTCCCACCTTGAACACTGGTTCAGAAAAAAAAGGGGGGCTATTCTACCCTTCAAATGACATCATTTTTCTTTTTAAAAAAAATATATTTTATTGATTTTTTTTTTTACAGAGAGGAAGAGAGAGGGATAGAGAATTAGAAACATTGATGAGAGAGAATCATCAATCAGCTGCCTCTTGCACACTCCCTACTGGGGATGTACCCGCAACCTACATACATGCCCTTGACCGGAATCGAACTTGGAACCCCTCAGTCCACAGGCCGACACTCTATCCACTGAGCCAAACTGGTTTCGGCCAAATAACATCATTTTTCATGTGATATGTTCCCTGAAGGTCATCCTAACTAATAATAGAGTAATATGCAAATTAACCATCACTCCACTATACTCACAAGCCACACCCACAAGCCACACCCACCAGCCAATCAAAGTGAGCATGCAAATTACCCAACCAAAATGGCTACAGCCACAGAGAGCAGGAGGGAGGTGTTTCCGCAGCAATGGAGGAAGCCAAGCTTTCTGCCTCCCCTTGCTGGCTTAAGCCTCCACTCAAGGCTACAAAAAGAAGGTAAACAAATTCCAACAGAAATGGCTGCAGTCACAGAGCAAGCAGAAGGCTTGACTCCACTCCAGGCTACAAAGTTTCAATTATAGAAGGTAAATAAATTCCAGATACCAAGGCCTCCGCTTGGGTCGCCAGGAGGCCTGGCTGGCCTGCAAACCACCTCAGGCCCCTCACTCAGGCTTCCCCACGCCCCAAGGGAACCCCCTGATCTGAGATACCCTTCAGGGCAAACCAGCCGGCCCCCACCCATGCACCAGGTCTCTATCCTATCTAATAAAAGAGTAATATGCAGATTGACCATCACTCCAACACACAAGATCAAGATAGCTGCCCCCATGTGGACATGAGATGGCCACCACAAGATGCCCAGCAGGGGAGGGCAGCTGGGGGGAACCAGGCCTGTGATCGAGGCCTACAGGCTGGGGACAACTCCTGCATTGAGCGTCTGCCCCCCGGTGGTCAGTGCACATCATAGCGACCGGTCGTTCTATTCATTCTGTTGTAATGGTCACTTCGGCTTATATAGAGATATATAGGTATATAGATATATAGATATATAGATATATAGATATATAGATATATAGATATATAGATATATAGATATAGATAAGGGCAATGGTGACCTATTCCACTAGCACCTACTCTGGGAATTGTGGCAAGGCTGACTGACCTTTAGGTTTGGGTCCATTGTGAAGAAATCACTGCCCTTGGTTGTACTAAACTTCCATAAATGTGAGCTTGTAAAAGAGAATAAGTGAAGGGGAGAAACCTTGAGTTTGAATGCAAGGCAGATAGACCATCACATTCCCTTTCTTTATGCTTCAGAAGTTCACCTGGACCCCTACCGAACGTGGTGCCCCGTCGCAGACTGTCAGACTGTGTGCCCCGTTGTGTCAGGTGACCCAGGACAGCCTGTGCTGGTGGAGTGCCCTTCCTGCCACCTGAAGTTCTGCTCATGTTGTAAGGATGCTTGGCACGCCGAGGTCTCTTGTAGAGACAGTCAGCCTATCGTCTTGCCAACAGAGCACGGGTAAGAAAAAAAAAAAAATGTGGTATTTGGGATTATTCACTAGTTTTCTCAGAAACACAAAATATGTTGCTTGGAGAAGGAGTTATCTTATGATGGAAATTAGATAATCACTATTTGCCTGCAACACTTGCTGAGAAGTGTCTTAGGACTGGTAGGTTGTTAACAAAGACTAACCCACAAAAGCATTTCTAGAGGGATTTTAATTATTTACCCCAGAGCGTCTTTCAGATACTGCTGAAATGAGAGTTTGTATGAGTTTTGATTTCCCTGTAATTAGAGAGTCATATGGTCCACTGGTTCTCGGTTGGAAGTCTTAGCTTGTCCACAGCCATTTGCTTGATATCAGACCCGCCAGCTATGGACATACCTCATGCTTCCTGATTGCAAAGTGTGCAGAAATTATTTTCTCCCCTAACTAAATTGCCAGCTCCTGAGGTGTGCCAATCATATCAGGGAGAATACAGCGGCAGAAACAGCCTTCAGTATGGCCCAGTGCTAAATTCATAGGTGCTAGAGGAAAAGAGCTTATCTCTCAGTACTTGATGCTTTGAAAAGGTGGTGCCAAGGTTGAGATTCTGCTATGATGAGAAGCAATTAAATCTGTACCTTTCAGTGGGGAGGGTTTCATGGCAGCCGCAGGGCCTGGAGTGAGAGGCCTTTGTGTTTGATCCCTTGCTTTGCTTGAGGCTATGGCTGTTCTGCACTAGCAAGAACAGAAATGCCAGTGTTGCAGTCCGGTTGGCTTAGCCCTCAGAGCCCTGAGAATGTGTAGAGCCATTCTTCAGGAACAGCAGTGCTACCTGGCTGTGATACTGTGCTTGAATCTCAGGGAAAACAGATCCAGTACACAGGGCAGGTATGTGCCCTTTTAGCCAGTGCCTCCTCCATTGTCGCTGCCACCACAGTAAGGTCCCAGGTGTCACAGGACGATGTAAAGATCCCAGAGGAAGAAGGACTGAGTTCTGACATTGTCATTTGGCATCCGTGTGACCTCATGCAAGCCACTCACACCCTATGGGATGTTTCTCTATTTGAAAAACAAAATGGGGGAGATAATTAAAATAGTAACTGTCCCACTGCTCTATGAGGTTATCGTGAGTACCAAATTCTGTCATAGTTTTTATAACACTGTGAAGTGGGTGTCTCTGGGCTGGGTGTGGGTTTTGATGAACAGTAGCTGAAGTGCTGCCCAGTGCTGTGGCTCATCTAGCCTTCCCTGCCACACCCTCTTCCCCTTTTGCCCCCCTCTTCTCTGTGTCCCTCTGAGCCGTGACCCTGTGTTGGCCTATCCATCTGTTTGGAGCAGGTCTTTTCAATGACTACTTTAAAGTATTGATTATCGACTCCCCATAGTCTCTTTCATTTGTTTATTTAAACAGCTTATTAGATGGATTATCTATGCCCTATCAGATCCTGAGCTAGTTTTTCTGCTGTGCAGCAGATTTCTTGCACTTTTTATTCAGTGTGTGCTCAGAGAATGAAATACTAATTGAGCAAAAACAATGAATTAAATTAGTTGTGGAAAATACGATGATATAATCCACTCAAAGCCAAAGTACTAGTAAGTGAATTAAGGTATTTTTGTTTTGTTTTATTTTGAGTTATCTAAACAACTAATAATTTCTGTCACACCTATTTTTACCCCCACCCTTTTCCCTTGAGGGTGTGAATTAAGCACATATTGCAAAGAGTTCACGACCTAAACATCAGGAGCCTTAGGAGATCCAATTGCTGGCCATAAAATTGAGTTAGAAGGGCATTATTTATCCATCATATTTAGCTTATTCTTACCATAGGTCTGGTTAGTGTACACCCTTGTGGTACTGACTTTAAAAAATCAGGCAGCATTCTCCATTCCCACCCAATGATTTCTCATCCGCTGTGTTTCTAGGGCCCTCTTTGGGACAGATGCAGATGCCCCCATTAAGCAGTGCCCGTTTTGCCGGGTTTATATCGAACGCAACGAAGGCTGTGCTCAGATGATGTGCAAGAACTGCAAGCACACGTTTTGCTGGTACTGTCTGCAGAACCTGGATGTAAGTTCCACGTGGAAGACTCTCTCCCAGCATCTTTCTCCATCCTGTACCTGTGCAACAGCAGTGTCCCACAGCCTTTCCTTTCAAAACATGGAGCCTGTTTTTGTCCTGCCCCCAAATTTATTTTTCTTAATGAGACTTCCTGAGCCTGCTAGTTTAGATATCCACAACACCTCTTTTTGATTACCTTAGGTATGTCATCTTTGCTTTAAAAGGCAAGCTTTTGTTTTAGGGACATTTCCTGCTTTGGCGGCATTGTTTCATTCTATCATGTAAAGGACTGTTAGTGTATTAGTTTTATGTTGCTATTTTAAAAAAATGAGCACAATATTTTGGCTGAAAATGACACAAATTTCTTACCTTTAGCTCTGAACATTAGAAGTCGAATGTGGGTTTTACTGGATTAAGATCAAGGTGTCCTTGGGGTGCATTCCTTCTGTAATCTGTAGGGGAGAATCCATTTCTTGGCCTTGTCCAGCTCCTCGAGGCTGCCTGCATTCCTTGGCTCGTGGCCTCTTTCTCTATCTTCATAGGCTGTAACATCACATCCCTCAACCCTTATTTTATAGGCATAGCTTTCGGAGTCATTCCCTCTGACCACTGCTGGGAGAGTTCTCTACCATTAAGGACCAGTGAGATTAGATTGTGTCCCTCTGGACAACACAGGATAATCTCCCCCATGTCAAGGTGTTAATTTAAACACACTTGAAAGATCCCTTTTGCCATGTACGGTAACATTTTCACAAGTTCTGGGGAAATGCCATAGGCTTCTTTAGGGGGCACTTGTGCTGCCTACTGCCATTAGGTTGTTTTCCTCTTTTTGAATTTAAAGAAAAAAGCCATTCAAATCAATGGTGTCTCTCAAGTAACTGTCTCATTCAATTGGCATGACAGAGGTATTGCTACTGTTTTTGTCATGATTCCCTTCTAGACAAAGAGGTTTGGTCTCATTGTTCTTTTTCCTAACCATTCATGAAGCATGTCTTCTCAAATTCAGGTGGAGTTTCATTCAGTCCTGTGCTAAGGCTAATGGTAACTAACCTCAGAGTTAAAAGATGGTGTAAAGAATTGTTGAGAATTCATTCTGCTGTTTTCAATTACAGTGTTTTAAAGTTAAAGGCAGCCTAAGTTGTTTACAGGTATTCCCAATTTGGGCAAGTTGGACCTAACTCTAACATATGTCCATATCAGTGTAAGCCCTCAGTCATGGGTGGGTGGCCATTCTTTTATCAGTTGGCCATATTAATTGTTCAGTTTGCTTCAATTCAACAAGCAAGTCTTTTAGTGCTTTAGTATCATATGCAGTTGCAGTGTGTGTGCAATTGATAAGGAATGCATGCTGGCCCCCATGTGCCTGGTTTTTAACTGAAAATTTGGTAAGTTGTTTAGGATGACATCTATGAATAGGAATCTTAATTAGTTTTATGTCAGTTTTTCAAGAAGAGGTATAAACTGGGGAGGAGAAAATTGACCTTTTAGTCTCTAGAAGTTTAGCAGTTCAGGTTGAGAGAAATATTTTCATTCTTTTTTAAAAAAATTCTGTTATACTCCTTGAATTACCATTAAGTTTGATAGTGGAGACCTCCCATAAATCCAGAGGAGTCCTGTTCTAGAAGAGGATTTGATGCTTTACAAATGAAAGAAGTCTTTTTTTTAATTTTATTTTCCTCCATGTTTCACCAGAATATTAATTGGGTTCAGATCCACAAGCAGGCTGGGCCCATGAGGTTCTCTTCAGGAAGCCAGAATATAAGGGAGTAAATGTGTGCGCCAGATCTCTCCATCCTCTGGCCGAAATGTGTTTATGGCATGGAGTTGCAAGAACACACTGTTCGATCACTTGACTGTTCCAGGACTCAGAGACTAAACGGCCCAGATGCCAGGTGGCTGGATACGCAGCATGGTTTTCTGGTCATTGTTCTCTGCAACCTCATTTTCTCGCTTTTAGCCTGCAGCATTGCTTTTTTGGTAATGATGTTTTTTTGTAGACGAGTGTTCCATGTCAGATGTGGTGTTGATCCTTGTTTATAAGAAAGTTGTAGAGTATGGGTTTAGGAGAAGGGTGATTGTCCAAAATCCAGTCCCTATACAGACACCAAGCAGTGATTTTGAGTTTTTCTCAGGCATTAAGAGTGTTCCTGCCTTGATCCTCATCCCTGCTGTTTCAGAGGATAAAGTATTCCTGTCATTGCCTAAAGCTCCATGTTCTTTCTTTTAGGGGGCAGTTTAAATGTGTATTAAACCAAGCTTTTCAATGATACCCACATGTAAACAAATACACATGAAAGTAAAAAAATCTTATATTAGAATTAATGGAAAAACTCTTATATTAGAATTAATGGAAAAAAATTGGCATCTCACCACTCCTTGGGCCGATGCCATGGGGCCTTGTTATAGTTAAAGAGTTCAAAGGAAAACCAGAAGGAGTTTAGCTCAACTCCACCTGCTAGGATGAATTTCAAGATAGATAATTTCTCCACATTATAGTAGATTGGGTTATAGCAGAGCAACAGTGTAGTTTTTACATTCACAGATTGGCTGAAATTGTGCAAATTAATTTCCTCTTCTGGTATCTCCCTCCTTTTTACAATTAGTAAGATATGATAGACCACAGTGGCTACAAAAATAGATAACTCATAGAGTAATTAATAGCTATCGTTAGCAGAGCACAAACTTACAGAATTTTCCTTTTCCCATAATGAGCAAGATATAATAAGCATGTTCAAGATGTTCAGCCAGCAGACTTTAGAGTGGTGAGAGAGCATTTGTAAAGAAAAAAGCGCTAAGTACAAAAGCCAGTGCAGGAAGTGAATACAGATGAGAAACATACAAAAGACAGAATCCTAATTCTTCACCTTTGATTGTCCTACAGTTTTCCCTTTATTAACCATTTTTTAAAGTTTGTACATAGGTAACAAAGTATTATTACCTATGTACAAACTTTAAAAAATGGTTAATCACGAGACAAGCAAAAATTGAATAACTTAATAGTAGTACTAAAATCATTGAAACCTGTAGCGTTTTGTGTGCTTTCATATATACTTCTGTGGGTGGGACTTTATAATGCCCAAAAAAATATGTTGATAGAGTTTTTAAAACTCCCACAAAAATCTATTTTACAATCATTTCAGATATAGGAGGGAAAAAGTCCCGAACTGGAAAATGAAAAAGGTCAAAAATCTCACACGGTGACTGAAAATCCGTGTCATTCTTATGTGCCCTTAACACTTTATCAGGTGCTCTGTAAGGTAACTGTAATGCTGTTCCGAAAAAAATCTCATTTAAGAAGACACAGTAATTTTTATTCTAATTCTAGAATTAAAAGTACTTATTTCATATAATGTGTGTTTCAGCAAGTTTGGCATCTACTTGGTTGTACTTGCCAGTGTCACCTTAAAAGTTCATCAAAGCTTCATGGCAGATGTGAACTATAAAAGCTGTGTAATAACACTGCCACTTTCTATTTGCTCACAGGGAGGAAAGGGTATCCTTAGCTGTCCCTAAGGTTACTCCAGCCTAGACCAATATCTCCCGGAAACTTTCGCAAGAGAACTTGCCCCCCCCAAATATTTATAATTTAATGTATTTGAGACTTGCTAGGTTAAATAAACAGGCTCCACAGACACACTAACATACACTCTACCCCTTCTTGATGCAGCTTTCCCCCAAATTTAACTTGACCTTGCCAGGGAACACCCAGAACCACCACTGGATCTCAGGACATTACTTTCCTATGGGACACAGGTTGAGAAATGCCATTCTAACCTAAATTTTATAAAGTAATGGTTCTAAAATGACAGTGAACATTGGAAACACATGGAAGATATGTTAAAGCGAAGATACCATGCCCCACTTCAGAAGTCTGCGGTGGGCCCTGTTTCTAAGACAGTGTAGCTGATGGAGTGAGGACCGCACTTTGAGTGCTGTCCACCTAGACAACATCCCACACAAACCTCAGCTGCAGGAAGCTCTCCTGTGGCCTCAGGAAAGGTTGCGTAGGGCATTTGCAACCATCAATTAGCTCGTCAGCTCAGCCCACTGACATTTTAGAAGGTCTGGGGCACCTTGGTTAGGTAGAGGAGCACTTTACTTGACTCCTGCCTCTGCCCCTTCCCACCGGGTGACTAGGCACAATGACTGCATCTTAAAAGAGGAATAATAACGCTGGCCAGTGTGATTCAGTGGTTGGAATATCGGCCTGCCCGCCAGGGGAATCACCATTTCATTTCCCTGTCAACAGCACATATCTGGGTTGCAGGTTCAATCCCTGGCTCTGATTGGGGCACATGTGGGAAGCAACCAATTGATGTGTCTCTCTCACATCCATATTTCTCTCTTCTTCCCTTCCTCCCTTTCACTCTCTAAAAATCAATGGAAGATAAATATCACATGATTTCACTCATATGTGGCATATAATGATCAACATAATTTGATGAACAAGAATAGATCCAGAGACAAATGGTAGGGAGAGGGGGTAAGAGAGCAACCAAAGAACTTGTATGCATGAATATTAGCATAACCAATGGACACAGACACTGGGGTGGTGGAGGCTTGCCTGGGGTGGGAATGGCTGGAGGGGGAGGGGGTCAGTTGGGGGGAAAGGAGACCTATGTAAATCATGTCAGTAAAAAATAAAAAATAGACAATAAAAAAAAAAGAAATGGAAAAAAAATCAATGAAAAAAGTATCCTTGGGTGAGGATTAACAAAAAATAAAAACAGAGGAATAATAGTGGTTCCCGCTCAAGGGATCTGTGAAGCTTCAAGGAAGCTACCTAACAAAAAGCATCAGACAAGTGTTATTAATCAGAAGAATGTGTCAGTCACAGTAGTTAAATCCCAGATGAGTTTTCTGTCTCTTTTGTCACTACTGAGCCTTTATAAAAGCACATTCTGGCAGCTAATGAAGAGAAAAGAGGCAAAACAAAACAAAACAAAAAACAAAAGTAAAAGAAAAACAAAGAAAAGAAGACACAGTGAGAGGAAGATGTATAGTGGATTACTTAATTAAATATATCTAATTGCTTAAAAAAGATAAATTCTCAAAGCTCTTAATTATGTTGGCTTTGAGATAGTATTTAAAAGTTATAGTCTATTGATCTTTGAACATACTCACTCTTCTAATATGTTGTTACTGGTTAAATTTTAACATCAAGAGAATGTGAAAAAAAAGTCTTTTACTCAAATATGTATGAATTAGATCTAAAAAAATTTAGTTGAGATAGTCCCAGTCCACAGTGGAAGGATGAGGTATTCTTAATCTGCTTTGGGTACCTTGGCGACTTGTCCCCTTCAGTTATCTTCTCTCTCCTCCAACTTCAGCATCCACTCTCCACTCCCTAGTGTCTAAATTATCCAAGCACTCAACTGTGTCCCATTTAAAACTGGGTATGCAACACTCTTCTCAAGTTTTCATCTTTACAGCCATTCTTTTTTTCTTGTCCCTTCAGCAGCCAATAAAGCACACTCACCTCAAGCTGTTGACACTTACTTACCTCCAATCATTGCCGAGCTCAGATTGCCACTTCATCACACCCAGACTGTGTTCTTCCGAGGCTTCGAGTGGCTGCTTTTGGGTAAAATCCAAGGAACACCTCAGTCCTCATCTTACCTAGATTCTCTGCTGCCTTTGACATCTTGACCACCTCCGTTTCAGTGATTCTACCTTTTCAGGTTACCCTTCTACATTTCTGGCCTCTTCTCAGTTTCTTTTCCAGGCTCTTTCTTGGTCCATTCTTATATGGTTGTGTTCAACAGCCTGCTTGCTTCTCAGTCTGCACTCTCTCTGGGTAATCTCATTTACTTCTGTGGTTTTTCCTATCCCATGTACACTGATTCCCGTCTTCACCCCCAAATTCACATCTATGTAACCAACTGCCTTTGATCATTGCTGCGTGGATGTCTTAAGTATCTCTCAAGTTCAACATGTCCAAACTGTACTCATCACCTCCCAACAAAATCCACCTCTATGGTGTTTCTCTCAACAAAGCCTAGTGACTTTCCCCCCATCTGCGATCTCTATTTCCCCACTAGTTAGTTACCCATCTTAATATCTCATGATTGTATTTTCCTCTTCTCCATCTCAACCACTGGCATTTTATCACCTTGTTTACTACAACCATCTGTGAGCTGCCTCACTCATGGTCCTCTCATTTCCTATCACACCTCTTATAGAGCTACCTTTTGATGATAATTGGTCAGGCCATTAATCTCTATTAGACTCAGTCAAGAGTTTCACTTGGTGATATATAAAACTACTAAAATAGAGTCTAAAAATCATGGGCTTGGAATTCCTAGAAGCCATTATTAATAGTACCAGAAAGAGCCTTTGCTTCCACTAAGGGGATCTGATGTGGTTAGTATCCATCTCTCAATTCAAAATTGCATGCTTACTGAAACCTTTCTCTTTGTTTTTCAGAACGACATTTTCCTCAGACATTATGACAAAGGGCCATGTAGGAATAAGCTTGGCCATTCAAGAGCCTCAGTGATCTGGAACCGAACACAGGTACCCTGACCTTAAAAGAAGCATGCGATACACCAGACTCACAGTGGCTTAGAAAACCTGCCTGTTCATCCTTTCCACTTTACTGCTGCTTACCCACTCTAGCCCAGGAGTGTCTGGGGAATTCTGGGGCAGGGTTAGGTCTGGAATTAATTCATAAGCACAATACTCTTAAAGATAAGTGGAGGTGCAGGGCACCAGAGCAGCCAAGTAAATAACAGTGACTTGTGGAATGAGGGAAGATGCTCTCTCCTCCTGAAAAAGATGGTGGGATGACTTTCCCACAGCCCTTCATGGGACATCTGCTATGAAAGGCAGTGCTCTAAACCTGACAAGCCCTTGCAGGGGCTTAGATCCCTCTGTACATGCCATTGTGTGATTATGTGACAGGTTCAAAAGGAGCCCTGGTTTATTTTTAATAGTGTTTCATATTTAATAAAGGATCTGCTTCTTTTGAAGGAGCCAGGGTTAACAGGCTAGTAATCATTATTAACATCCCGAGGAGGCTGTTGAGGAAACTCAGGTAGAGAGAGAGCCAACACCAACATTTCATGATTATACTAAGCTCGTGCCAGAGCCTGACTTAGCATTTGGTTTGTTCTTCTCACCTTTGATTTAGTGTCTGGTATCTTCCTGAATTATTCAGTTCAGACCACTGCTGGGGACTGCCTAAAATGTTTTGTAATTGTGACTGTTTTATGTGTCTGAGTTGGCGTCTTAGTTCAGGCTGCTATAACAAATTACTATAGACTGGGTGGCTTAAACGATGGAAATTTATTTCTCATGGGTCTGGAGAATGGAAGTTTAAGGTCAGGGTGCCAGCAGGGTTCGGGTTGGGTTCTGGTGAGGACTCTCTTGTTGGTTTAGAGATGGCCATTTTCTCATTATGTTCTCACATGGCAGAGGGTGAAGAGAGAGGAAGCCAGCTGTCTGGTGTCCCTTCTTCTGAGGGCACTAATCCCTTCATGAGGACTCCACCCTCATGTCCTAATTTCCTCCCAATGAACCCCATTTCCAGACATCATTATGTTGGGGATTAGAGTTCCAATGGGAATTCTGAACCCATAACTGATGGTAGAGTATACATATAGGAAGATTCATCTGCTAAAATATTTTTCTTTCTTTCTAAATTTCCAGGTGGTTGGCATTCTTGTGGGGTTAGGCCTCATTGCCTTGGTGACTTCACCCTTGCTACTCCTGGCTTCCCCCTGTATAATCTGTTGTGTCTGCAAGTGCTGCCGGGGCAAGAAGAAAAAGCATGACCCATCCACAACCTAAGGATCTCTGTTTGTGTCCGTGTGCCACATAGCACAGTGATAAAGCCCCACATGGTGAACTCGCCTCCTTTTTCTTGCCAAATTTTGGAAGTGCCTCTGTGTCCAGACTTTGAACTTGCCTCCTGCCCACCTGTGGCGTCAAAAAAGGCCAAGCACTGGTGTGTGTGTTCCTGTGTAAAGAGAATCGGGTTCTGCAGTCCAGGTTGCATCTGTGGAGCATGTCAGAAGCTTCGGATTCTTGGGAAGGAACTAACACAGCATCATTTTATCACCTGAAGGATCCCATGGGACTGTTCAACTTTCAGCCAAATTCAAGGAGCCTGAGTGAACAATTCAATATAATAAAGGTGTTGTCATGGTTGGCAACATACATGATAATTGAGAAGCTAGCGTCTGTTCTGTGTTGACTTGACTACCAAGGGATACATGGGGGAAAACCCGTGGATGAGATTATTTCAGGGGAAATTCTAGTACGACTGATAAAGTAGGCTGCTTATCTCGGGAGGTGATAAGGTGGCTCTGCCTCTGCCAGCTACTGGGCGTGCTTTCCCAGCATTCCCACAGCCACTTGGCAGAAACACAATAGGTTTCTCCCTGTGTGATCTCAGCTTCAAGCAGGAGAAACAGCTGTGCAGAGGAAGTTGTCCCTTCCCAGTAAAAGGGTTTCAGCCTATAAAACAATATGGTCTAATTTAGTCTCTCTCTCTTGGCAAGTATAACTTTTTTGAGGTGATAAACTCTTCTCATAGAGCCAGTGGCTGCTGTCTACAAGCTTGTTTTACATGAAGTATTTGGGAGGAGTGGCCGAGGTTCAAAACCTGCATAGTAGGGCCCTTTCTTGAGCTATGTGTTCATACACCCCCAAATTTAGAATTAGACCTAAAAGTACACACCAAATATGAGTATTAAAGTCCATATGTATTTAGAACCCATATAACTTGCTTCCCACCTAGAATTTCTGACCTCTGGGCATGCCTGGATAGGTACGTAAAATGATGGTGTGCATTATTACACACAATAATACAACACACAAATCTTTATGTAAAAGCCATTCTGTATTTTCTTCTGTGACTAATATTGTTTAATATAAAGCAACCTAAAGGTTTTTTGCATATTATATATGTAAATTTTTGGTTGCAAATTCTTAACTTACTCAAGTATAGACTCATAAACAACTCTTAAAAACAATACTTAAAATGACATCATGCAATCTCAGTTTGTAAAAATACTGGTTGATAATCATGATATTTACCCTCATTGTTTTGAGAGAGAAAGAGAGAAAAACATCCATCAGTTACCTCCAGTACTCACCCTGACCAGGGATCAAACCCACAACCTAGATATGTACCCTGATTGGGGATCAAACCTAAGACCTTTTGGTGTACGGGATGATGTTCAAACCAATTGAGCCACACTGGCAGGTTATTTCTGTATTTTCAAACATAGCTCAGAACAGCTGTCTTCTCACCTAGGTTTAGTATCTATTAAGGCAATCTGAATACTTTTCTGTATGTACAAGGCACTAATAAAACAACCCAAATATGTAAAAAATAAAATGACTTGTTTTTCCCATTATACCATAGTCAGATTTTGAATAAACGGGTTTTGAAAGGACAATAACTTTTTCTCCAGTGACAGGATGACATAATTGCCATCAGCAATGTAGCCTGGTGCCCCATTTGAACTGTATTAATGACAGTGGAGAGCTCTCTTTGAAGCCATGTCAGGAACTATCAGGACCTATGATATGTTCTGAGTAACTGGGTAACTACATTATTAAATTGCTGCTATCTTGGACCTATTATTGCCTATGTAATAGAATGTATCCCAAGTGGAGATGTGTATATTTAAGGAACTTGAATTCATACATACTATGTATATATGTATGTATATATACATATGGTACTTTTGGTCATGTATATTTTTATTTACAATTTGTATAAAACATCAGTGAGAATGCTGGGAAAACTTTTGAATGGCAGCCAACCAAAAACATTTTTAATCATTAGAAATTTCTCAATATTGAGTGTCTTTATTTTCCTTTAAAACTCAAAACACTTCAGAAAAAAAAAAATCAATGGTCTCTTCTATCAATGTATTTCATATTAGTATAAATGTATATATATTTGAATAATTTGCTTTGCTTTACACTGCCTCATTATACTAAAAGGTATTTGTAACTGCTCAGGGGAATCACAGGGACTCAACTGAAATTGAATTTTTGTGTCAAGAATGTCAGTAGTGGCAGGGTACTCTTCAGGCTTGGTTCCACAAAGAATCTTAAAATGGGCAGATTTCAAGTAACCCAAAAGACTTATTAAAGGTGGAGCTCCTGAATATGGAGTGAAAGTGGAGGAAAATATCTATGTTATTTCCTTGGAAAAAATGGAAGGCATGGTCTTCTCACAGAGATACTATTATAGCAGACTTCGCTCTTTTGTGTGTGTAGGTGGGGAGGGAGGAATAAGGAATAGTGTTGTTTGTCAAATAGACTTGAAATAACTGGACTTAAGTTTTTAAATGTTGAAAAGTCCCTGGGAAACAGTGACTTCTTCCCTGAATAGCTAAGAGAATTGGCCTGTGTGACATTGTCAGGATCAATAGGAACAGATTGGTAGGTGAAATATAAGTATGTCTGGTGCATCAGGGTTTAAATGTAAGCCAATCAAGAGAATCCTATCTAAAAAAAGAATAATATGCAAATAGACCATCACTCCAACACACAAGATGGCCACCACGTGATCACCATGTGATCAAAGATGACGGCCCCCATGTGGACACAAGATGGACTGCAGGGAAAGGCAGTTGTGGGTGATCAGGTCAGCAGGGGAGGGCAGTTGTGGGTGATCAGGCCAGCAGAGGAGGGCAGTCAGACATCCTTTGAGGAATCCCAGATTGGAGAGAATTCAGGCTGGACTGACGGACACCCCCTTACTCTCCTCTCTATGCAAAAATTTTGTGCACCGGGCCTCTAGTTTGTTTATAAAAGAGCTGACAACTTTGATAACCTAGATTGATGTTGTCATTTTGGATAATTGCCAGTAAAAGGGTTCAACTTTGTCTCCTCCCTTTGTCAGCTTTATCCTTCCCTAGTGGTTCTCATTCTGTATTAGAAAGAAATCTGGGTTTGCATGATCATGCTTGGATGTTGTAGCAAAATATTTTTGTGTTTGGAGTTGTAGAGTCCATTTGAAATAGAAATGTAAAAATCCTTCACCAAAATTGGATGCAAGAACTTACCCATCCAGAAATAACTATTGGTTGTGATGGCGTAACATCTAGCCATTGCCCCTTCTAGGTAGGGAGATGAGGAGGAAATTCATATGGAAGGACATTTTAGAATCTTAGGCATCCTACTGGTTTATGTTTGTTCTGGACTCCAAGTCTCTCTTTTGAAGGAGGTCTTTGAAAAAGGAATAATTTTGAATTTTCTTGTAATCTGCATCATAATGAATTTTCTTGTAGCCTGTATCACAAAAATTTTACCTATCCAAGTCTGAAAAATCTAAGTGCTTATTTAAATGTAAATCACTGCTTCTTGGAACCCAAAATTGACTCATAAATTATTCAGAATCTAAACATGTTTGTATTATTTTAACCTTTCCTACACAGTGCTTCTAAAAGACTTTCTGTTCATGAATGGATGCCTTTATGTGTATAGAATCATGTATATATGTGTAGCTCAGAACGCCTTAGATAAATGATATTTTAAAACAGTATCACAATTGATATCTATAGGCTATTGCATCTCATGTTGATTCATAACCCAGAAAGTTTTGTTATGTATTTAAGAAATTGCTGTCATATTATTTTTCCCAATAACTTGAGAGGAAAATAGCTGTTTTAGTCTCTCTAGCCCCAATAAATGTGGAGCAGGAAATCAAGTGTGTTAACTCTTGCTGTGCTGCATGTTTTTAGACATGTTTAATTTTATCATCTAAAATGCCAGCCACATCACTATTAAATCCTAGGCTCTGCAATACCATTTACGGAAGTGACTCTTGCAGCCTGTTTCTTAGGAGAAATGGGAGCAAATGTAACACCTTCACTTGCTGCAGACTTGTTGTTCTAGTATGTGTGATATTCCACACTGCCAGTGCACAAGCATTAATCATTATCCAGAGAAATAAGCAATAATTGAGGTCTTTGATCATTCTAGTAAAAAGTGCTGCCAGGCATCAAAGTCATTAGTTCTGTAAAACAAGGGTGGGACTACATGCTCTCTACAGTCAGTTCTAATCTCCCACAAGTTTATTAGAGGAATGTGTTTCCTTGTTATGATTTTTTTAAAAAAAGGATTTACATTAGAGTGTTAATTTAAGGTTATTTCCCTTTGATTAGTATTCAAGGCAGGATCACCAAAAGTTGAGTGCCAGGAGTTGGTGAACAAGTAGAACTTGTGTTCTTATAAAACTGACAGCTCACATTTGTATACTGGCCTCAATGCCTTTTTTGTTGAATATTCTATGCTTGTAATATACCTGAGTACAAAGGTTTATAATCGACTTATAAATTTAAATTCTATTTTCTAATCCTTTAGTTTTGAGGAAATCAGTAATATCACTTGAAAACATTTTGGGTTATTGTTTCTTAATTTGCTTAGTCATCTCCTAAAATGTCAACATTATTTCATTTTTAAAGTGTGCTTATTGTTTTCTAAACTTGAATTTTGCATTCCCAAAGAATTATTGACTGAATCACTTTATACAGCAGTGATTTTAATCAACATCTAACCAGCAGACTCATTGCAATGCAAATTATGAATTTGAAAAATTATAATTAGGATTTTCTGTCATTCTGTTATTTCTATTTATTAGATAATAGATTTAAGAGTTGTTTTTTAGACCCTAAAGCTAGTTTACAAATTTACATTATGAAAAAAAATTGTCTTTAAATAATTTAATAGCAATGAACAATCCTCTGAGATAAATGGAGCAGGCCCATTTCACAGAGAAAGCAATGGTTTTGTGTTCATGTCTTGCCAAGGGTCACACTATGATGAGTGGCAGCCAGAAAAAGAATGCCAGACTCCTTGACAGGACTGTCATGCTCTTTCATTCATCAGTAATTCTGAGCTGGCCTTCACTCGCTTATCTATGAATCCCAAGAGAATGTACTTCCCTCTCAATTATTTGCATCAGTGGAGATATATGTAAGAGAATAATTTATTATTTCGAATAGTCACTTTATGTTTTGATGTATCCAACAAAATGTCTAGGGCAGATGACCACCCCCTGAGATCAAGCCCAGTCACTCCCTGGGGTTCAGCTGGAGAAGGGCAGGAGAGGAAGGTGATTCATTAACTGACTACGTGGTGTGTATCTGACTTGCCAATATTGAAATTAGAATTCTACTTCAAATGCCAAAATACTTGCCTCTTCC